GGCCGCAACTTTTGCGAGGGAAGTTGCAAAAGCTAGGCCGCCACCCCCCCGGCTTCGGCCGCATAGTACACGCAAGCCCGTGGTTTTTGCGAGGGAAGGCCTCCAGGCCTCCTCGCGAAAGCTAGGCCGCCGCCCCCCCAATTCAGCCACTACCATTGCCGCCATTGCTAATGCTGCCGCCGCCCCTACCACCGCCCCCACCCGCCTTCGGCCGAGTAGTACACGCGAGCCCGCGGCTTTTGCAAGGGAAGGCCTGCTACCGCCGCCGCCGCTACCACCGCCGCCGCTAATGCCGCCACTAACACTCCCGCCGCTGCTACCGCTGCCCCCCACCCACCTTCGGCCGCGTAGTACACGCGAGCCTGTGGATTTTGCAAGCCTGTGGAAGCTAGGCCGCCACCACCCACCCGAAGCCTCCCGAGTCCCGCCGCTGGGGCTTTGTTGCTTACCTGAGGGGGAAGCAGCAAGCGAAGGCCAAAGGGAATTTTCAAATGGAGGTCAAGCGTGAAAAAAGCTTCGCTTCGCCACCAGCCCGCTCACTGATTGGCTGGACTCCAGCCAATCAGTGAACGGCAGGCTGGGCTTAGTGCGGACGGGCGGGGGAGCGAGCTGCGGATGGGTGGGGGAATGAGCGAGTGAGCTGCGACGCGCCGGCAAAAGGGCGCTTTGCAGCGATAGAGGCCAGGAGCGGTACCGGCGTTCCCGAAAGTTAATTACTTCCGGGTTCACTGATGAACCGGTTCGTGTGAACCGGTGTGAACCGGGAGGAACCCACCCCTGAAAGAAACCCATATAAAACAAAACAAAACAAACAGATACATTGATGAATAAATTGAAACAAATAGAATCAGGACCCAGGCAAAACATGAAATTGGATTTGGAACAAAATATTAAAGTGTTTCATAATCAACTAGATTTAAAATTTATGAGGAGATAAAAATTGCCAAATAAAAATATTTTGAAAAAAGTAATGAACCAGATAAACTTTGGCATATTAACTGCAGAGAAAAAAATGTTACTTTAATTTGGATTGGAAGAAGGTATGTCTCAGCTTCAGAGGAGATGATGAACTAATTTATTACTTATTCTCTATTATACAAAGAGATACTAAGTCTAGAGACAATTGAGGAGTACTTAAATATAATGTAATTTATAGATCAACAAAGAAGATAAAACAAAATAACAATATTTGAAGTTGAATAAATCTCTAGGGCCGGATGGCTTTTGTGCAATATAAAAACATTTTAAGAAATCTTGATGAAGCTCTTAAACCTGGTAATGAATGGAATATAGCTTCAAGAACTTCCTTCCTTATGGCAACAGGCTTTTACCTCTTTGATATACAAATTATCCAACTTATCCAGTCATGCAGACTTAGCTCTTTATCGAATATAGATTATAATCTTTTTATAGCTATGCTTGCAAAAAGATTGAATGGCTTTTTAACTGATCTAATGTATCCTGATCAGACAAGGTTTGTTCCAATGAGTTATATGAGAGATAATATCAGATATATTTTGAAAGTTATTGATAAATCAGAAAAACAAGAAATAGCTATTATTCTCCTTGATGTGGAGAAAATGTCTGTTAGATTGGAATGGGCCTTCATATTCATAACATTGAATAAAAATTGAGGCTCAAATTTTCTTACATAGATACAAAACAATTATAATGAAGAAACCAAATATTAATATATATCACCAGGCTAGTGTTTCAGATTGGATCCCATCATGTTGTGGTGGTGTTATTTTAATACAGTAGGCTCATTTTGGTTCTCTTCAAATAGCAATGTATAGCTTGTAAGAGATTGTTTGATTATAGGCACTGCATTAAAAAGTTTGGAATAAATATTTTACCTAAGCAGCAGAATTGCTGATTAATTTTATCTGAACTTCATTTTTAAGTAATAATTTCTTTTTCCTGCCAGAAGGGGGCGGGTTCACTTTTTCACTCACTTTTTTTTAATTGTGAAATTATAGCTTTTCAAAAATCACAAGAAAAAATAGTAAAGAAAAATAGGAAATAACGTGATCTTCAAAGGCAGCAGGAACTGAACAATGAAGATAAAATTAAGAGACTGTTAATTAACACTTTGGTTGGAAGCAATATCAGAAGAGGTGAAATCTGCAGATGTTATTAAAGACTCAGCAATCTTAACTCTCTTAGTAGCTCTTTTGCTAGTCCATTTTAGAGAAGTTAACTTTGTAATTTCATTTTAAATGTAAATTGTAACATAGCATAACTAGACTCTGGGGTGGGATGGAGGAAACAAAACAACAATAAAACATTATAGAGGGAAATTACTTAATTAAAGAGATATTATTATATTATTTACATATAAGGAACTATATTTCCTGAAATTGGAAATAGAATTATGATGTAAAATGGATTATGTATAAGAGAGGATGATTTCTTGATTACTACCCCATTGTGGCACATTATCAAGATGATACAAATTATCTAAACAAAATATTCATAAGCATGCTGCTATTGGCACTGTTGCATGTTGAACGTATTCAGTGGTGGACATTCAGAGAATCTTCCTATCTATTATAGCATTTTTATTTTTCTGCTCCACTGAAATCCTGCAGGCTGTGCAAGAGAAGTCACAGGGTTAATTATTGTGTTTTCCCCACATAATAACAATGTTTATATACCTCATCCATCACAATAACATTGCAAGCAAAATCATTATAGATACTTGAATGCTCTGGATTTGCATTATTCTGGAATTTCCCTCAGCTAAGAGTCATAGTTTTGGGCTAAAAAAAAACTATTTTAAAAATGGAGTTTAATTTCATTTACCAAAGAGAAAGGTAACTTTTTGGTCCTAATATAAATATTTGGTAATTTTTTTGTGTGACTCTCATTTTCCTACAATCACATCCTCATGCTGAAAAATGTTCATAAGATAGTTTAAGGAGAATATAACAAAAATAATTGGCTCACATGCCCATATTGAAAATTTGAAACCCATCTATGAAAGTTTGTTTTCTGTTTCTAAAAACAAACAATTTTAAAATTTGATCCTCTATTCATAGGACTACAATTTTGTTAGTGAAAAGCTAAAATGTTAAGGTTTGAAAATTTGGATAGACACTATAGATTCTAAGCATGTTTCACAGCCTGCAGTACAATTACTGACATAATTATCTCCTCTCTTGGAGGCAGAAGAAAGAAATAATATTTTAATGGTTTCACAGAAACCACAAATGTCAGCAATGGATGTTCTGTTGTTACAGTATTTTTAACCTCTGTGATCTTATCACCTTGTTCCTGTGGCTAATAAGTCTCCTGACACAATGGATATTAAAGGGATCCTACATATCTTTTCAGATATATCCAACTTTGTAATTTTGTAATAAATGCATGATAAATTTTCTAGTTCCTTCATGTTTCTGGGTGTAATTAAACGGGTATTGTATTAAATTGCATTAAAAATGGAAAATATTCCCATTTCGGCCATAAAACAGATCTATATTCAATAATTACAGTAAAATCTGTGAAAAATGATTACCTTTCTATAGCTGCTTCTTTGTACTTGGACATTGGTGTGTGAGTGTTTGCATGTATGTCTGTTGAATCCCGTCTCTCTCTGTTACAAATCAGGGATGAGAACCCATGTGGTCAGCCCAGAGAGCTTGACATGTGCCTGACTAACAAGATGAAAAAAGGCAATTCCCCAGTTGCTTGTTGTGAAAATAAAATGATTGCTTTGGGATCTTTTTGAGGAGGTGGGAAGTGCTCATTTTAAATACTCAAGAAGCCTTTGGGAAATATTTAAATGCATGATATAAAAATTCTATATTTGTTTCGTCTGTTATCACTGCTAAGACTCAAATGTCTTATTTTGTGGAAATATGAGGCAGAAAAATATGAATTAAAAAAAGAAACCCCATGCAAATAATATACAGGCTATGGTCTCCCAAAACAACCCATTTACACAATTTGACCTTTTTTTTTTGATCCCATACAACAGCCTGAACCAACAGCTGATTCCAGAGGCTGGGTTTGTATGACCCATGAAGCTAGAATGGAATTGGCCAATTAGTATATCAATGTGCCAGGTAAATACAGTCCCAGAGTTTAAGTCTGATAGATCATCATGGCAAAGATGCCATTTTAGCAGCTTTTTTGACTTGCCTGAATTGGACTTGCAGAGGTAAGTGGTTGCATCAACAGTGTTCAAAGGAGAAGGCACTGTGTTTAACAGTAAACATTCTTATATGTGAAGTTTGGGTTTTGAGCCCCATATCAAATCTACTATTATATATTTAGTACAATTAAAAAGCTAGATCAAAATCAGCAGTCTTATAAGAACAGATATGACGCCCTGATTTTGTTGAAGTAACAACTGCAATAGCTTCCCTGACTATTTGTAAAAATGGGGTTGTAGTGGCACAGAAATTAGGCCAAAAGCTTTTTTGGTGACTGGGAACCATAATGCTGTGTCAGTTGTAGATTTGAATCCCTAATGCTCTTCTCTGTATACAGTCAATGTCTCCAAGATTTGGGATATTTCAGGATGAAGAACTTTAATAGCTAAAGTTAATGTAACCTCCTCCTTTCTGCAGATCCCCTATTTTTCCTCCAGGGCAAGTTGTGGTAATAGGAGCAGCAGCACACCTTCACCCCTACCATTCTGGTAGCCCACAGTTCTGTAAGACAAGCAATTGCTGTTGCTGTTTGTTCTATACTCCCAAACTGAAGGATGATTGGAGCAAAGCTGTGCAAAGAGGTTCTCTGGTCTAGTGGGCCTGGCTCTAGATGGGAGAGGAGACCATCAGCCCTAATGCAGGTCTCATCCATATCCTTCATTTGCCTAGAAGCATCCAAATACTATTTTTGGGTCATACTAAATAGTGTTTCTATGTCATTTCTTGCATATTGGCTTTGAGAACTTTCACTGCTGCTATTATTTCACCTTTTACTTCCTCTCTCTCCCTTTCCCTTTCCCCTCCCCCCAACTCTCCCTCTGTTCTTCTGCTTTCCTCTCCTAGGTGCGGGCCAGTGCCATTGCACAGGATGCTGATCAAAACTATGACTATGCTAGCAACAGTGTTATCCTACACCTGGATGCCGGGGATGAAGTTTTCATCAAGCTTGATGGAGGCAAAGCCCATGGAGGCAACAACAACAAATACAGTACCTTTTCAGGTTTCATAATCTACTCAGACTGAGGCTGGAAAGAAGCCTACTGACTTCCAGCCCCCTGGATTTCTCCATGTGGCAAATTTGGCTGCTGAATCCATTAATACTAATGTCTTTGCATACAGCCAGTCTCCCTCCATGGGTTATATGAAAGCAGAGTTGGATCACTTTGTTTTTTCCTCTAGTGGGCACTGGGATGGCCAAATGATGATTCAATCACCATCCCCATTTATTTTACCTTCCATTGTATCATGAACCACTAAGCCTTTCAACAGTATTAATACGGAGGATGAAGAGAAAGAGAGCTAAGGAGCCAGGGTGAGGCTTGAGATGTAGTCTGGAGAATTGATCATCCCATTGCCCTTGAACGCATTTTCATTTCCACCCTATATGACTTGTTGAGACATGCTGCATGCTATTGTATTGGGAGTAGATTCTTTATGTAAGTGAGAGGTTATGGAAGCTTAACTTAATCAGTGAAGGGGCTATGTATATTGCCATCTGGTCCTCCCAAGATATATTTATATGTATCTTTTTAACCATGTCCAGGGCTACCTTAAGGCTAAACATCTTATCTGAACTTAAAGCAACAACCATTTCCGGATAGCATAAACCAGAATGTGAAACCAACCAGAAATGGTGATTTTTCTGAACTTGGATAAGTCACTAAATTAATCTACTTAACTTAATTAAAGAATCTTCTGGCATGGGAGTAAAAAGTGGCATACATGGTCCTGGAAACCTTTTAGAATTGTTTAGCATATTATGTGAATGCCCTCATAATATCTTTACTAAAATTGGGGATTACTGAATTTTAAAAATACTGCACATTGTTTTTTTTTAAGGTAAAGTATTATTTTGCCAAATTTCAAATGCATATACAAATATTAACTTTGGATTTCTGTCCCTCCATGAGGGTAGTCCCAGGTGGTTCTGCTTGTTGTTAGTCAGGTAATTACTGGGCATGTATAACTGAGTGAGTGGAGAGTCATAATCTTTTCCCAATCCAATCCCTAATGCTGGTGGTGAAATTATGCACGTTTTCTAATACAAATGGAGAACCCAGGACTGGTGAAAGTTAATTCTGCTCCACCCACCTACTCCCCAAAAACCAGATGCAATCAGGTTAAGTCAATAATCCTATTAATTATCCAGGATCTCATGCACATGAATTTCTGTATGTGTGTACATGCAGGTTTACACATGCAGTATATGTGCATATTATCCAAACAGGTCTACTATAGGAATACTATACAACTGTATTGTCCTGCTCCTAAACTTACGAGTGTTCTTAGAACATAATCTCAATTCTTTCTTTGTGATTTAGTATTTTAACACTCTTACTTTTGTTGAGTTTTAGAGGGTGAGATGGGGAAGCTGATTTTTCTTACCAAAGAAAGAAAAAAGAAAGAAAAACTTAATTTGGAGTCTCTGTCTCTTCTTCACTGGGTTGCTTCCCAGGTGACTGTGGTTTCTTTCTTTTCAGAATGGATGGGTCTAGGGAGAACAGGATGCTTCTGGGTCCTCATCAAGTCTCTGGCCATTAAGATTGGAAAGATCAGAAGAATGACACAGGGTTGTATGTGTAATTTTCAGACTCATGTCAGACATATTTCTCTTTTATATATAATTTGTCATGTTGGCCCTTGCTAATCTTTCTGACCACAACTTATTTCTTATTTAAAATGGTTCCACCACAAAACCGCGGACGACAAAATCACGGACGACGAAAGCGCGCATTTGACGACATCACAGCGCGACGAAAACATCGCGCTGTGATCGAAAAATGTAAAAAT